TTACAATCACACTTGCGCAACCATGACTGCTACCTGTTTCCAAAGTTTATGTTCCATGACTCCAAACAGAAACTCTAACCATTAAGCATTCCTATAACCCCCAATAATCTGTAGTCTACTTTCTGTTCTTATAAATTTGCCTGTTCTATATATTTCTTTTCTTTTCTTTTTTAAGATTTTTTATTTATTTGAGAGAGAGAAAATGAGAGACAGAGAGCACGAGAGGGGAGAGGGTCAGAGGGAAAAGCAGACGCCCTGCTGAGCAGGGAGCCCGATGCGGGACTCGATCCAGGGACTCCAGGATCATGACCTGAGCCGAAGGCAGTCGCTTAACCAACTGAGCCACCCAGGCGCCCTTTTTTTTTTTTTTTTTTAAGATTTTATTTATTTATTTGCGAGAGAGAGAATGAGAGACAGAGAGCATGAGAGTGGGGAGGAGCAGAGGGAGAAGCAGACTCCCCGCCGAGCAGGGAGCCTGATGTGGGACTCGATCTTGGGACTCCAGGATCATGACCTGAGCCGAAGGCAGTCGCTTAACCAACTGAGCCACCCAGGCGCCCTCTATATATTTCTTATAAGTAGAATCTTATATTTGTCATTTTGTGACTGGCTTACTGCGTTTAGCAGAATGTTCTCAAGGCTGATCCAGGCTGTAGCATGTATCAGAGCTTCAATCCTTTCTGTGGCTCCCAATGTATGTATTTATCACATTTTGTTTAAATATTAATCTGTTGATGAACACTTTTGTTGTTTCCACCTTTTGGCTCTTGTGCATAATGCTGTAGTCAACTTTGATGTACAAATATCCCTTTGAGTCCTTGTTTTCAGTACTATTGAGTATTTAGCTAGGAGTGGGATTGCTGGGTCATATGGTTACTCTGTATAGCTTTTTGATGAAGCACCAACCTGTTTTCTGCAGTGACTGCACCACTTTATACTCCCACCAGCAAAATAACAAGGGTTCCAAGTTCTCTATCCTCTTTAACACTTGCTGTATATATTTTTAATTATAACCATCTTAGTATCTCACATCTAGTATCAGGTGTGAAATGGTATCTCATTGTGTTTTTTTTTTTTTTTTAAAGATTTTATTTATTTATTTATTCATGAGAGACAGAGAGAGAGAGAGGCAGAGGGAGAAGCAGGCTCCCAAGGAGCAGGGAGCCCGATGCAGGACTCGATCCCAGGACCCTGAGATCATGACTTGAGCCGAAGGCAGACGCTTAACCATCTGAACCACCCAGGCGCCCTCTCATTGTGGTTTTGATTTGCTTTTCTTTAATGACTCAGGATGTTGATTGGTTTTCCATGTGTTTATTGGCCATTTGTGTACCTTCTTTGGAGAAAGGTCTATTCAAGTACTTGGCTTATTTTTTAATTAGGTGGTTTGTCTTTTTGTTGTTGAATTGTAGGAATTCTTTATATATTCTGAATATTAAACACTTCTCAGATGTATGATTTGCAAATATTTCCTCCCGTTCTGTAGATTTTCTTTTCAGCTTCTTGATAATGTCCTTTGATGCACGGAGGTTTTTAATTTTGAAGAAGTCCAATTTATCTATTTTTTCTTTCGCCGCTTGTGCATTTAGTGTCATATCTAAGAATCTCATTGCCAAACCATAAAACAGACTGAACTGTAGAGAACAAACTGAGGGTTGCTGGGGAGGAGGGGGGTGGGAGGGAGATGGTGAATGGGTTAAAAAGGCGATGGGGATTAGGAAGGCACTTGTTGTGAGGAGCACTGGATGTGGTATGTAAGTGATGAATCACTAAATCCTACACCTGAAACTAATATTACACTGTATGTTAACGAAGTGGAATTTAATAAAAACTTGGAAGAGAAAACCAAAAGAATCCATTACCAGATCCAATGTCATGAAGATTTATCCCAGTTTTTTCCCTAAGAGTTTTGTGGTTTGGGCTTTTTTATTTAGGTCAGTGATCATTTTCAGTTAATATTTGTATGTGGTGAGAGGTAAGGGTCCAACTTCTTTTTTTTTTTTTTTCTTCAATATGGCAATATGATCGTCCCGGCACATTGTTCTTTCCCCATTGACTGAACTTGGCACCCTTGTCAAAATTTGGTTAGATTTGTGGGTTTATCTCTGGACTCTCAATTCTATTTCATTGATTTATACATCTGTCCTTATGCTTGTACCACACTGTTTTGATTACTGTAGCTTTGAGGTAAGTTTTGAAATCAAAAGTGAGTCCTTCAACTTTGTTCAAGACTGTCTTGGCTAAGTAGGTCCCTTGGGATTTTATATGAATTTGAAGATTGGCTTTTCCATTTCTGCAAAAAAAGCTGTTGGGATTTTGATAGGGACTGCATTGAATCTGTAGAGTACTTTGTGTAGTCTCTTATAAGACTTAATGATAAAAAAAATGCATTTGATAGGACTAATTGTCCATTTCTGAAGTGGCACCAAGAAATATTTGGAGCAGAGTATAGTCACATAGCTTGGAAATAATCCTTACCTATCTCTGACTTCCCTTTCTTCCTTCCCTCTCTCCCTCTCTCCCTTTCTCTTTCTCTCTCTCTTTCTCTCTTTCTCTGACTTCTTAAAACCCTTAAGGATTGTAGGTATGTTTAAGTTGCCCGCATTCTTATTTAATTTGTATCATTCATAAATTTTCTTAAATCATGATTTTAAAATCTTAAATGCTACTAAGTTTCAGCTGCTATTAATAAGACTGAAGAAGTGTTCTTTTAATTTGTGCCCCTGATCTTACAGAAAGCCCTTTGGAATTCCTTAATTTTTTTATTGGAAACTTCAGTTCTGTGTTTTTCCCCTTAGAAACTTGTCTAGGGCAGTGCTATTTCATAGATTCTGCATGGTTTTCTCTAAGAGTAGGTTTAGTCATTTTCATTTTTTATTACTTCCTGGTGTGTTTATCATTTTGAGGTGTGTTTTGTGTGTTATTTATTCTTTATTATGTCAGCAGCCTACTGTGCTAAACTTTAAAGACTTCTAGTTTTCATTTATGTCTTTTAACTAAAATGTGAGAACCCCTTATTGTTTAATGTCATATTAAATGGTGTGTGCATTTGATCACTTTTCACATTGGATATTTCATTGTGTAGACTGGATCCTCTACGTACTGCTTTCTTGCACTCACATAAATCTTAGTGAAATGTGTTGTACTTTATTCTTACTGGCTTTGTTTTGTGCTTTACTATTTAAACATCTATATGTCATTTGCAAACTTGAAGATTTCTCTCCATTTCTTTCTACTAAATCATCTAAAATATTTTAAAGAATTGATCTTAATATCACCTCAGGTAGATCTTATCTCTTATACATCTCTATCTGGTTTCCTTTTTTATCTCTATACCTATTTTCCAGAACCGAGTTTTTAAAACAGTTAATAAAACTTGGTCCAAGATTTTAAAAAGCTTAGTAAATAATGATTATTTACTTACGTTTGTTTACATATTTGTTGTTTCAGAGAATCACATAGGAAAAGCAAAAGTATTTTGTGGACTTAGTGAATTTCTAGCTAAAATTTTTCATTACTCTCCCTGTTTTAGTGAATTTCTAGCTAACGTTTTTCATTACTCTCCCTGTTCATTCTTGCCTGATAGCTTCTGGTTTGTAAGCAAAGAGTAAGTCATCTCTGCTTTAGAGACAAGAGGCCTAGTCATTAGGCTTAGCATGTGCATTCATGACCCACTCTTTGTCTCTTTTGAGCCCACTCTTTACCTCTGGGTTCTTGGCTATGTTTGAAATAATAGATTTTTTGATAAATGAAATAATATATTCTCCTTTGCTAGACTGCGTTCTGTGTGCATTTGCCTTTTCTGCTCCGTGTATTCAAAGAGTCACCTGAGGGACAGTATTATTTCTCCTACGGTTCACATATTTGTGTTGTTCAGTAGAACTTGACTCTTGTGGCTGCGAAGAAAGTTTCATCAGATTCTAGTGGATCTCATTTCCCAAAAGACTCTTATGGAAATATTTTTTAATAGCACAGTGTATAGGATGCAAACTTTTCATCTCCAAAGTAATAGTGTTAGTGCAAATATCTTCCTGCCATAAAATTCTTCTGAGTCAATGGCTAATTTGTACAAGGATTTTCACCAGGATTTTCTCTTCATGGTTCTAGTGTGCATATAGCTGTGTCAGAATAAATCTGCTTCAGTGTTGACTAACATAACATAATAAAATTAAATTAAATTAAAAAAAACTACTTCAGTGTTAAGGTGGGAGCTATCACACACACACTGATGGAGGCCAGGGAGATTCTGGCCTCCATCAGTGCTAGCTATCACAAAGTTGCTGTATCTGAGTTCACTAGTGAAAAATTTTCAGGGGAAATGGGCTAGTAATATGCACAACCACTTGAATTAAGAAAAAAAGTCTTAAGTTGAATACCTTTTCCTTAAAACTTATTTAGAATAAGTTGATTTGAAAATTTAGGAAGAGGCGCCTGGGTGGCTTAGTCAGTTAAACATCTGCCTTTGGCTCAGGTCATGATCTCAGGGTCCTGGGATCGAGCCCCACATGGGGCTCCCTGCTCAGCAGGGAGTCTGCTTCTCCCTCTGCCTCTGCCCCTCCTCCTTGCTCATGCTCTCTCAAATAAAAATTTTTTTAAAAGAAAATTTAGAAAAATTAAATACACTTTTTAGGTGAAAGAAATGCTTAACCTAAGCAGGTTAAATTATAGAAGAAAATTTATATGCATTTTATAGTTTGCCATCCGTTAGAATATTCTAAGTCTTCACCTAACTGGGAATAATTTAAAACAGCCTAACAAAACACATTCATACTGATTTTCTGTTACTTACATTATCAGTTTGAAAACATAATATTGGAATTTTCCAGAAAAATGTATGTCTGAAATTTAAGAAATTGAATGGTTCCTTGTCATTAGGTGCAAATAATGATTAAAGAGTTTCTCTTTCCCCACTAGTTGTTTTTGTTTTTCATTTTCATTTATTTAGAGAATTGGCCCAAATTTACAATTTATATTTCATAAATTTTTTTTTTCCTTCCTAGTTTTGGCAAGCGTTCTGCAGGAAGCTTTAGGCGTGGCTGTGAATGCATTGTTTTAGAGCCTTCTGAAATGATTGTGGTAAGAATACTTCTGTGAAGACTTTTTTCCCTAAAAAGAAATTATAAAGTAAAAGCCCTTTAAGTACTTAAAATACTGTATTTATGTATTTTATAACTTTAGATATATTTATTTCATAATTTTTATTGGGAATCTGAGTTTATAATCATTATATTGTAATTATTTATAAGATTCAGTGAAATGAAAAAGAAGACTCAAAAGGGGCAAGTACATATGTGTTTTGTGCTTGAACTTTGTCAAATCAATCTATGATAATGCCATTTAATTGAAATTTGGGAGGAATATTTGAAGTGCAGGACTTTAGCTCTCCAAACATTAATTGGAATGACTGAAATACTTCAGATGAGTCAAGGTGATATGTATTCAGGCAACAGTTAACATAAGGAAATCAATTTCTGTTTTTTGTCTATGTCCTATATCAATATATTTTTTAAATCCTACAATTCGGTTAAAACGAGAGAGAGAGATTTCAACAGAGTGTCTAACCAGCATACTAGTCCCCCAATTTTCTGGCCTACTGTAGAAGATGGTGGAAGCTTTTTATTCACATTTAGTAAAGTATTTGGTAGAAAGCTGTAAGTCTATTTTCAGAGAAGATTTAGGGTTTTTCCCTATGATGTAGGAGAGGAATTCATCAGAATGAAAACTTCCTTGTCAAAGCTAGTGAAAACCTTTGGTAAAATGTCACAAAATTTACTCTTCAGTAAGAAAGTAGCATGGTGGTGAGTAAAGATTTAGGATTGGAAGAATGTGGGTGGTTACATAGGAGTTTCCAGCACCAGGTCTTGAAAAGCATTTTAGATATTTCCTAGAGATTCTGGCCTCCATCAGTGCTATTTTGTGTTTCTCTAAGGGACTTTTGATCTTCAAAATTCTTTGAGGATTTTATACTTGCCGATATTATACAAACTCCTAAGTTTGCCAGTGTGAGAATAGTCTTAGAATCTTAGTATGCCTTGATTATGAGCAATCACATTTTCATTATATAAGTATTTCGAGGATTGTCCTAACGTAACTTTTATTCTGGTTAGTCCATTCATCAGTTTCTAAAATGTTGAAAATGAGGATTTTTTTTTTTTTTTAAATAACACTATAAGAAGAGAAACTGAATCTACAGATTGGAAGTAGGAAGAGAAACCCTTAGGTAATCTACCAAAGCCATTCTGCTAGCAGTCCTGTTTGAGTCATTTGGGATTTGGGGGTTTTTACAGCTTTACTCACATACATCGGGGTTAGGACAATGAAGCAGTTGCTTTCATAATGCGAGGCAATGTATCCTGTGAGTTCTTTCACTAATAAATCAGTACAAAGATTGCTGAAAATATCCTTCCCTTTGAAACTGCAGGAAATTCAAGAGTTACTCATATTGTCCTAAGTGGAACTGAAAATGCTTCTTCATAAAAGAAAAGTTACTCAGAACCAGTTAGTTCCAGAGAAGTTCAGACACTTAATCTGTCATGATAGTTTGTCCACAAATGTCTTTGCAAAATGAATGAATATGGACTTATCTGTAAGTTTTATTCTGCGTCTAATGTTAATATAGAATGTTGTGTTTGAAGACATAAATTTTGGGGGGTTTTATTTCAGGTGGACTATATGGATGAAAATGAAGAATATTTTCAGCGTCAAGCTTCTCATCGACAATCTCGAAGGAGATTTAGAAAAATCAACCAGAAAGGTGAAAGACAAACAATCATTGACACTGTGGATCCTTATCCTGTGGGCAAACCACCTTTGCCTCGAGGCTATCATACGGTAAGTTATTAAAATATAGTATTTTTAATCTTTAGTTTTTTTATTGGCAATTTTGTGAAGAGACATGTGCATTTCCTATTTTAATTGAATAATTCCTTTCTGTGCTATGTGCTGGAAACACATGTATGAATAGTTTTAAGGAGCATTGAAATAAGTTATCAAAAGACATTGTTTAGCCCTTTTATTTCTTAAAATGTTCTCTGAGGATTGGCTTTGTGAACAGCAATGCAGTTGTAACTGGGATATTTTAAGTTCTTACCTTAATCTAAAATTTGAACTCTCCCTGCTCCTACCCCAGTGATTGGCATCAGACTTACTTTTTATTTCAAAAGTAGATATATAAAAATGATATGTTATTTTCATACTTTGCATACCACTGTGAGAATATTGCCTGATAATTTTTTTTTGTTTTTAATACGCTGAAGTGAAAACATAATTTGAAGTGATGCTTTTTAAAATCCCAGTGTAAAGATGATCTGAAGTATTTCTGATAGGCTCAAAGATCCTCTTAAATGCTGTAGTCCACTTGATCATCATTTATTTCATAAATATTTGATAAAGTATTTTTATTTTTGAGGAAATCAAGGCACAGATAATGAGTGATTTGTACAAGACCCCGATAAAGTCAGTTTTAGGACCTTATTTTCTTATTCCTTTCTTTCTGTTTAGCTGCACTATGCTCATTTCCCCTGAGAATATATTTGAGGATTTCTATTTTCAAAAAGAAAGTAACATGATTTCTTACATATGTCATAATAGAGTCTAAGATGGTTTGTCTGTATATAAATACAGTTAAGTGAGTAGTCATTATATGTGAAATTAGTTTTAAAATAAAAATATGAAAAACATAAAAATAGGTAATTGATAGCTATTTTACATTTCTCATTTGTTTTGCTTACCTGCACTTTTCTTTCCTTTTGCAAATAAGTATAAATGCAAAATACATGGGAAAATATATAGACTTAAAATTATATACTCAATTTTTGGTAACTTTTAGTGATATGGTATACTTTATACCCACACTTCATATGTTTTATTTCTGAGAGCTCTTTGTGTGTGAATATTTAAGCAGTTTTGACCACCAGCTACCCGCCTACTCCTTTCACTACCCATGCACTATTTTAATTTAACATGAATGTTATAGTTGAATCATTTCATTGAGCTCCTTTGGAAAGGGTAGCTTTTTGCTCATCATAAAGAGAGCTTTGTTTGTCCTTTGGAGAGACTTGGTATAAAAAAAAAACAAAACAACTATGAAAGGTTTTTTTGTTACCATTATCTGTAAAAGAAGGTAGTATTTTTAGTGTTGACATAGCATCATGGAAGAAGGAAATTTGGATTAAAAATAGTTGTACATATTAATAGTTCCATATATTATTTTAGCCTGGTGCTAATGTTGTTAATATTCTTTCTGCTCTGGAATTATTTTTCCAAATCAGATTCCATACTAAGATAGTGGGAGTGTGAATTACTTAAAATTTAGTGTTAAAGCTGATTGGTTTAATTTTATAGTCCTGTTTTTCACACTTAAGTTGGGGAAATCCTATAACTGTTTTTCTCTTTTATTCCCATTTGTTTCCCTCTTTATGGAATATTTCACTTTCCCTACGTGACTTCCCTTTTTTGGTTTGATTTTTAAAAAAATGTGCAGGGTTTTTTATTACAAGATTACTTTTTTAATTTTAATTTAATGGTTTTAATAATCTTACCTGGTCAATAGGTACTTTTATTAGGGAATATTCAGTGCTAGGATGAAAAATTTAACTTGATTACTAATGGATCATGTACTAGCTTACTAATATGTGACATGTTGGTATTAATTTTACTGGATGAGTTCAGATTGGCAGCAACATGGTCATAATTGAAAATATTGGATCCTTTTTTGCGTGTGCAAGGTGTGTTTTAATTATATTTATATAATATTTATTATTTCACCAAATACATGATTTGAACATAGAAAACAACAAAATTTTGTTTTGTATATATGGTGCCACAGGATACAAAGAGTGAAATGAAAATTATTATTCATTAGTCCTAAGTTATATTTACTTATTCTTAACAGAAATATTTCTCTTTGAAAGAACCCTAGTAGAGTGGGACTGAGGGTGAAAAGTTTATTTAGAAGATGCATAATCATACTTCACAGGTGATTTTAAATGATTTCAAGTGCATTTCAAGTGCATGGCTAAAAAACATAGAGAACATTATACATACAGCCAATTCTATATGGTCATTCTTAACCTAATTTTAACATTATCTTCGTTTTGGCAGATATACTATAGCATGTCTGATAATGTTCATCTTTTCCTTTCCTCTTTTATGGCACTCATTTCATTTTGGCTCAAAGGAATGCACTAAATCTCAGGTATTGTAATTTGTGTGTGGTCTCCTAATACTAACCTAAGTTTATTTGTGAATTTGCATTGTAACTAATGAGTTTATAATATTGATGTGTTTAGCTTGGTCTTGTTCTTTTGTATTTTGCCCTGATTCAGTAAAATCTCTTAAAACAAAACTGTTAATGGTTTAGGTGATGGCACAGTCTATTTGTGCAGATGTAGTGATGGATTGTCCACCTTGTCCACCTTAGGTCCACCTAAGTGCAACCTACTTATTATTATTATTTTTTTTAAATGAGTGGAAGCACTGTTCTTAACTAACATGATTTGCAAGTAAAAAAATGAGGAGAGAAAGACAGGTAGACGTAATGGAAATTTAATTGCTTTTTATGCAAAAGCTTATGGGAAATCCACTAGAAATTTACATTTTAAATGATGCTGTAGGTAAAAGCTTTAAATTTCAGGAATCCCAGTATGAGAGCATTTTGGGAGAATACAAGTAAAATTTTAGTCAGATAGAGTAAAGGCTTAGTCAAAAAGGAAATGAGAGTTTAAAAACGCTTGTGTTTTCTTATTTGTACTTTATTTTTAACCGGAATTCATGCTTTATTTCATTCTATATTTTAATCAAAAAGCCTATAATAATATCTTTGCTCATTTCTTTCATGCCAACACATGACTAATTTATGATTTTCAGTGTTACTCTTTTGAAACTGGGGGTCAGATTGGGGGTTATCAGGGAATTTGGAGTAAAGGAAGGAAAGCTGATTTATCTCTGGAAAGGAATTGGTTAAGTAACTTAGTAAAATCTTATGGTTGTGTTTTCTTATTGCCCAGGAAAAAGATCGTGTATAATTTAATTCACATTAGAGGAAGTCGACTGTCAATATAATATCTTTGGCTACTATAGTGACCTTGCCTGAAAGCATGAAGTATTTGTATAGAGTTTCAAATTAAAATGAGGCAGTAACTTTATGTTCTGTGCAAGAGAATGCATATTAAAATGCCACAGGTTGTTGCTATATTGTACTTGAGAAGCATTGCTAAATTTTAAGTGATGTGGTAAATCTTAAACATTTTCATACCATTTGTAAATTTTATAAAATTTTGATGTAATTGTATACTTTTTAAAATTGCACCAGTGTTTTGGGCTTTTATCTGGTAAAAGTATAGTCTAAAAATATATAACTTTAATATTTTAAAAGATACATCAGTACATAATCTTTCCCCTTTTTAATAGGAAAAATTACTAGTTCGTCTAATTCCCATTTAGAAGTAGGAATTGAATTGAAAATGTACACTGAGTTATGATATATACTTTATGTACACTTTTTAAAATTAGATGTGTTGCAATAGTTTTAAACCGATTATAATCATTTTCTTCAGAAACATGAGTACTCAAATAGTCCATGTGGAGTGTTTTCAAGACATTTTTTCAAGGCAAGTCTATGAGGTTTGCAGAGAGAATAATCAGCATTTTAAAATGCAGTGAGAAGGGAATATTGGAGATGGCTTTCATTAACATTTTCCTACATTTTGATGCTTTGAGGTTGAGACTGTATTTAGGATTGCCAGAAAAGAGGATGTGGCATGAATTTTCAGTCTTAAGGTAGATAATAAAAATAGAGGCAGGTAGTAGATAAGGTTCTTGGCAGAGGCTGGAAAATTTGGGGTCAGTCTCTTTAGACTTTGGACAAGTTTATTTTGTCTCTGGGTACAGAGTAGGATAGAGGAAAAAAGCTTTGTTTATTTTATCCATGATTACAGACCCTGCCTGTCTACATTTATGGGTAATTTATTCCAGGAGTTTGTAATTTATTCTAGAAGATACTTAAGGGGGCGACTTAACTTACCTGATTGTAGTGATGGGGAGACTGGTACATATTTATTCTGTCATCTTTTATTTCTTTTTTTATTTTAATAAAAAGAGAGCTCTGCCCTCTTCTCAGTTTAGAAAGAACAAAATTATACAGAGATATTAGACTGAAGACTGAAGAAAACTTGTCCTGTCTATTCCATGGAGTTTACATGTACCAACAGACATTGCAGCCTAGCGAGGCTGAAAGAATTGAAGTGCTCCTGGTCCTTTGAAGTTCTGATTGACTGTCCACTTCCCATTCCTACTTACCTCCAACAGATGGCTCTAGTTTGTTTTTTTTTTAAATAGTTTAATTAGCAAACATCTATAGAGTATTACCTATGTATGTACTACTGTTCTAAAACATTTCACATAAATTAAGTCATTTGATATACATAACTACCCTGTGAGGCATGGATTATTATTAGTACATTTTACAGATTAGGAAATGAAAGAACAAGATTAGGGGATGTGCTTTAAGAACACACAACTAATATTAGTAATAGAGCCAGAATCCTAACCCCAGAAGTCTGGCTCCAGAGTCAAAGCTCTTCACATTATTCTATACTGCAGAATACAATAAACTCAATGAATGAAAGTGACCTCTTTTAAAATATGAAAAAAAAAGTAGATTACAAATTCAAAGGATTGGTACTCCTCAGTTGTCATAATTTCTTAGCCAAACATTTTTATGAGATTTGATTTAGTTTAAGTAATATTTGGAATGTCCGTGACTAGTAGTTGTTTTAGGATGAGAAGAGACAGTCAAAATCCAAGATGGCCTTGTGACATTTAATTTTGTGTTGTCGTTTTTTTAAATCTTGGAATGTTTTATTTGATCAGGTGTAAGCAGGCTCACAGTGTCCCAAAGGACATTTTCCCAAGGAATGGCTCTGTTTTATACAAATTTGAATTAGGATTTGAACACAGTATAACATAAAACATATTCATAAAGTTTCAATCAATGCAAAATTTTTGAAATAATGGAAACCGGTTGATCATATAAAAAGATATCTCCCACACATTTTATTAGTAGTCCTTTTCTACAATATGAATATACATTTCAAAGCACTGTTTAATAATTATGTATTACATTTTTCAGTAGATTAGGCTTAGTTTAAAATTCTTGGTGCAGATGTATAAAAGGTAATAAAAAATAGTGCATAAAATTATTAAGTTAATATAAGTTGAATACAATGTAATATTAACATAATGGGGATAATTTTTGTATTATAGTCAGTGATAATATAATATCTATAAAATGTGGCACCAATGTAATAAGATTGATCCATGCATGAGGCTTATGGAAATGAGTTCCATTTTTTATAATAATATAAGACAAGTTCTATTTCTAATAATGGTTATATAATCATTCCTAAGTTGTATCTTATATTTCTCTGAAGTAGATTTTTTTAAAGATAGATTTAAGTTGGTTTCATTTTTAGTTAAGGGCTACTTGGTAGGTTTTGTTAGTTTCAAAAATTGTCAGATATTGAAACATGAAAAATTATAGTGTTTGTGTGATTATGTACTTTTATTTGACAATCATCTTTTTGATGTGGACTGCTGTTCTTGCATTAGAAATAGTGTTTTCACTCGTGTTATGGCTTTGCTTTTTCACTTACCTATTTAATTTTTTACTGAAGTCTTCTTAGTTTAATGCAATATTTGCTGCCTAACAGTAAGAGAATATGTTTTGAGTAATATATCAGTGACTTGTATATTTACTAAATTTCCTAGAATATTAAGGTCTTAGGATTTTAACTTACAACAATCAGTTCACATTATATTATACCTGACTATGATTTATTCATATGATGATATTTTAAAAATCTGTTTATATGCTTAAATAGAAAATATTCACACATAGGGGAAATGTCTTAATTATTTTGACATTTTCATTCTTCTTTAAATTCGTCAAGCATTTGTTCGCTTAATTAAACCTAAAGCCTTTGTCTTCAATAATGTCATCAGTGCCTCTCTGAATTATAATAGGATGGAGTTTCAGGAAATGTGTGTATTCTCTTTCTTGTATCATAGAGAGGAAAGCTCAGTATTTTCATTTACATATTTTATTCATTTAATGAATATTTATCGAGTGCCCACCTTGTTTCAGGTTTGTGCCAGACTCTAGGGCTATGAAGGTCTAGAGGACAGGCATATTTTGCCCTTATTGTCCTTTTAGTTTCATAGGGGATATAGATAAATAAATGGGCAACTAAAATATAGGGAATTCTAGATACAGTGGAGGCACATAGACAGGGCACTTGAGGAATCAGGCATGGTTTCTTAATGTCTTGGCTCAAAGGAAAATACTCTTCAATCCAGGAAAGCCCAATAGAAATGTGAAAACTGAATTGGTAAAGAATGGAAAAGAAAGGTGTGGAGAGAGTGTTAGACAGTAGTGATGTATATATTAAAAAAAAACCAACAACACAAGTTTTGCTAGATCCTAGTTATTGTGTGCATGCCTGATATTTTATGTTTGCATCAGAGTCTTAGAATGTCAAAAATACTCTTTGCTTTTCACACCCATTATCAGCAGGTTTACTGGTTCCTCTTCACCTAGATCATGTTGCATTTTAAAATCCTGCAGACAGCTCCCGGTGGAAAGGTCTTTGAACAATAGGTGGACGTAACAATTCTATGCCATGTGTGCTGCAATTTCTAACAAAATGCAGCATGGAAAAACTGCTGCAGTGGGCTCCATTTCCTTGCTTTGGGGGGACTATTTCTCTTTCTTGCAGTTATAATCAGGTATTTATGTTCATTTAATTTATACAGATTGGGAAATTATACTACAGAGTGTGTATCAAAATTGAAATGTAAATCAGGAAATAGTTTAAAACATGAAATGATTTCTCTTGTGCTATTAACAGCATGCATTGCAAATTCATGCAAGGCAGTTGAGAATAGTATGCAGTGTGCTGTTTACCCAAGTTTCAGCTTCTGTTAGAGGATGTCTATTTTTATATATTACATCATCTCTGCTGCAGAACTCCCGTGTCCACTGGGATTTACTGTTCTTTCATTCCATTTTGAAAGAAAGCTTGTATCGATGTCATAATTGGACCCATCTTTTGGTTGCACTTGGAAATTGAAAGTAATAAGGGTGTTGTGTAGCAAGTCATGCAATATTTCAAGCAATTTATTTGTCAGAGAAACCAC